GCTAATAGATACAACAATCAGTGTATCTATATGATGAAATATGTAGAAAAATGAATATAAAAATGATTGTTTTTTAATGGAATTTATGGGAAGTTTTTCAAATTTCAATGGCGTTTACAGTGCAATGGCTAAAAGTTCTTGGAGTCCTTCCTCCATGGATAAGTTTTTATAATTATTCGCTACCGTCTATTTTTACTCGTTCATTATATTAAAAACTATAATATATCAATTATAATTTATATTTTTACACTCCATAGAAATGATATTATTAATTTATGTTTAAAAAATTATATTAAATCAAATATGAATAAGCGTCTATTTTTACTCATTCATTATATTAAAAACTATAATATATCAATTATAATTTATATTTTTACCATAGAAATGATATTATTAATTTATGTTTAAAAAATTATATTAAATCAAATATGAATAAGTAAAGATGAACGAAGTAATTATTTATTTGTTAATCGAGAAATGATTTCGTAACAGTAAAGGAATTGAATGAGTACGACGTCGTTTAAGTCCTTTACGTTTTCTTAATTGTATTTTGTGTGGCGCTATTAATAATTTTTTTATATATATATAAAAAAAATATATATATATATAATATATATAATTATTGTGATGTGCAAAATGGTTGACATGGAATTCCTAGTGCCATGAATAAGTTTTCTTAGGAACCAAAAAAGAATAAAAGATATTTTGGTTATTTGTTAAAGAAAAAGTATATATCGAAAATTATATATAAACATATATCTTTTTTTTAAGTTTTGTTTATAAAATTACATTGATATACCATTGTTATTATATTTGTTAAAAAGTAATTGATAATATATTTTATAATTTTTTAAAAAATTTCGATATTTCAAATGACACAATGTCTGCATAAACACCGTCCGATGAAGGGGAAGTGTTTATTCTTTTGAATGGGGAAAAAAGTGAAGTTTAGAGAGTTTGTGATCAAATTTTACGAAAAAACAAATATTTTTTTTTGTTATTATTATTATTTTTAACACTTGGACAAACTCAAATACTACGATAATATGTAATTGTTTTATTATTATTAACATAAAAATAAGGAATATAAAGTAAATCTATGAGTAATTTTTACAAAAAGTCAACTGAAATTTTATATGTATTTTTTTTCTTCTTATACTTAACGTTAATCCAACCTTTAATATTCCAAGTTGATATATATATATATATATATATTGTTTGATGAATATAGAATTTGTCACTCTGTTCATCTTTTCGAAAAAAATTTATAATATCTCATATTCAAGTTTTATTATTTCATGAAATAAATACTTCAATATTTTCTTATAAATGCTTGCTTGTAGGAGTATTTTGAGTATTTGATATTCGATATACGTAATTAAATGTTTAACACAAACTTGCATAATATTAATTGGTTTAGTAAATGAAACTCGAGTAAGTTTAATCAAACTTCGATTTAGTAATTAAGTATCAAAGAAAAAAAAGGGTTAATAGGTTCATAATTTGTCAAATATTACATGTTAGTTTTTAGACAAATCAGATAAAAGAAGTTAAAATAACGTTCACTTTTAAACTCTGACTTATGAATTTATTGACATATATAGTTAACGGAGACATTCAAGTTATTTATTAATCCTACTCATATATATAATAAAGACATAATAAATAAATATGACTCTTGACTTAGTATTAACGAATAATTATGCCTTTCAACTTTAGATGTGTACAAATAATCACTTAAATTATTATAAAACTGAATAAGTAGACACAGGTGTCCTACATGACATACTACACGTAGAATGTCATGTAGGATATAAAATTGTCAGGTAAGACGAATGTGTTCATTTGCTCAATTTTATACAAGTTTAAGTGTCTACATATGCACACCCAAAATTAAAGGTCATAAATATTAGTTAACGCCAAGTTAAAATCGTGATTATATATTATATCTATGATAATTAATTCATTATGATTGAAGAAGTGTTTAATATTCAATTTTAAATTTTTAATTTTGATATGATAATCAATTTTTTTAATACAAAAAATTCTAATCTGATTCGATTTTTAATATATATTTTATATTGCTTATTGCCATGTAACTATATATTTTAAAGGTTCCAGTGGTGGTTAGTATAACTTCAATAAATTTGTGCATGTGATCAATAATTTCTATTTATTAAATCTCGAATAAATCGATGAATATAATATTACAAGTAGAATTAATGATCGATTTTTTTTATAAAGAAATTCTATAAAGAAGAATAATAATGTATAGCACCAATAATGACGAGGATAAGAACAAGGTACATGCATGGGAAGAATTAAAAAATAATTATTTTAGCGTGACACTTTTTTTTCGATTTAATGATTCGATATTTAAAATACTTTATTAAATTAATTTATCGTATTAATATAGTGCGAATATATTAATATTATAAAATACTATTTAGCAAAAAAGATCAATACAATTAAGAAAATCAAATCGAGAAAAGTCGAAATAAATAAAATCAATGTCAATTGAACATTAATTTCATTTGGTCTATATATTTAAAAAAAAAATCGACATAAATAATTTAATTTAATAAATAAATAAATAAAGGTAACTAATATCCTTTGTCCATGGATATTTATGTTAATACTTTTTTTAAAAAAAAGGTCATATTAAGTGCCTTCATATATTAGTAATAATTTTTTTGGAACTTATAATCTTTATTTATCTTCTTAATTTAAATCCAATAATAGTATTTGGAGGACGTCGAAAAACTAAAAAGATCAAAGCAATATGTAGAAGAAATTGGATGTAGCACTAGAAAAAATAAATATGTTTTAGAAAACGGAAAAGGGTCTAAAATACCCTTAAAGTATTGAAAATGGTACAAAATTACCCTTCATCCACCTATTGGCTCTAAAATGTCTTTTTCATCCACCTATTGGCTCCAAAATACCCTTGTCATCCACCTTTGAGTTCAAAATTGACCACTTATTTAACGATTTTAAATTTATACTATTCAAATATTTTTAAAATACTTGATGTTCAACTAATGTGTTATAATTTAATTTATTTGTATTATTTATAAACCAACCCGCTACCCACCCATTACTAACTAAACCCCACCCAATTAATTATCTAACTATAATATAAAAATCGTCATAAAAATTACTAAAACACGATGAAATTATAGATTAATGAAAATTACATCCAAAATTATTTGAGTCTGAATCGAAGCCCCAATTAAATTTATGTTGAGCCGCTTATTTAGGAGGAAACATTCAATTTGATTCTCTTTCAAGATTGAATTAGAAATTTATGATTAAAGGTAAAGAAGTAATACATTCCGAATTAATTCATGCACTTTTTTAAAATATAATTTTATAAATATTTATGATTTGTTTTAAACCTTTTAATATATTATTTTGAAAAAAAGTTACCTATGAAGTAACATCACATAATTGCACGTAAGAATAATTAAGATGAACATAGTCAGACTTTTAAGTTTATCGGTAATTTTTATTTAGACACTTGAATGTATGATAATTTACTTCTATAGATATTTTCGTCTCAAATTTTTTAAAAACTCAATTGCCAGAAGCTTTTCTATTGTTGCATTAATAATGTGAGTGATTTATTAATTTGGAGGGTTTAATAATTAGTAATGAATGAGTAGTAGATTAATTTATAAATTATACTAATAAGTTAAATTATAGCAAATAGTTGAACGCCATGTATTTAAAAAATATTTAAATAGTTTAAATAAAAAACCGTTAAATAAGTGGTCAATTTTGAATCAAAAGGTGGATGACAAGGGTATTTTGGACCCAATAGGTGGGTGGGAAGGGTATTTTGGATTCAATAGGTGGATGAAGGGTAATTTTATACCATTTCCAATACTTTAAGGGTATTTTAGACTCTTTTCCGTTTAGAAAATGAAAATGCAGTAGATACTAGTTAATCTCACTGAAATAATCGAGTCGAATCGATGTATTACTGAGACATAGTAGAACTCACCCGAATTTTATCAAGTGAAGAAAACATACGTTGAGAATCATCTAAAAGATTATTATATTCAATAGTGGATAAGAGAGTCAACACCATTCGATGGTATTTTAGTGAGACGTGGATAGAACTCACCCCTAATTTTATCTAGTGAAGAAAACATACGTTGAAGAGCGTCTGAAAGATTATTATATTCAATGATAGATACGAGAGTTATCTATCCTTTGCTCAAATCTATACATTTAACGAAAAAAATTCATGTAATATTTGATTGTAAATCCAGTTATTGTATATAGACTTGAGATTGTTGTCAAAACCCATAAATATCAAATCCTCTATTTTATTGACAAATTCAAGAAGATAATGAAGGAGTTTATTTATTCATATGATTAAATTAGCTCTAAACAACAATGTGATTCTTGCTCTTGTAACTTACTTGTAACTAGTTCGTTACCATGTCGGTAATATAAAATTTAGACGCAACGAAAGAAAAGATTATTATTGTCAATACTTTCTTTGTTCAATATTCATCACAACTTTTCATTCTACCATTTTTTTCAAATTCGTTTCGAAAAACGATTTTTTAAAAATAAAAATCCATCAGAAATATCTCTACCCCACCCCACGTAAGTAGGATAAGGCTTGTACACATTGCACCCTCCCAAACTCGACTTGTGAGAGAACTATGTTAGGTATTATGTTGTTGCCTTCCTCCAACGGTAGCAAAGTGTTGATCTTAAATGTTAGTATTAATGGAATTCCAGTCTCTAGTCTAATTTGGTCCCTTTATAGCAGTTTTTTTTCTGCATTTTTCACTATAGTCTTCATAAATCTTCATCTTTCCAGACAGTTGCTATTTTTCAGGTTATGAATCGACTTTACAGTCGATTACCTATATAGGATATAGAGCTTTAGGTAATCTTACAACTGAAAATTGTCAGTATATAGAAGTTGAGCTCGATCGAAGACAAATCTCTTTACCTTCTCAAGACACATACTAGCAGAATAACCAGTTAAAGAGATGAACGACGGGAGTTCATCACACACTTTTGAGATTAAAATTTGTGTATTTTACATGTGTGTTAGTATCTAATACATGCAAAACATGTGAATTATCAGACCCTGAAAAATGAAAAAAAAAATACTAGTTGGTGTATAAAAAGAGAACACATTCAAGGGGGCATCAAACAACTGTGCCGATATAGTTAAGACTACTTGGCTGCTTGTTCTAAGATTGGAATTTTATTCCAAGTATCTTCTGGTCCACTGATTTGCAATGGAGGCAATGAGAAAGCACTAACCGTTGAGCTCTTGCTCCGAATCTCTTTTAAAGCACGTAAAGCAGATATGGTGCTCTTCATGTATAAGCTTTCGATATACTCTATCTCTGTCAGCTCCTTTGGGGCTCTAAGTAGACCCTCGTTTTTGTTGGTGCAGCTAGTTGAAGTTTCATTTCCGTCAGCTTCCGAGGCAATACACGAGGTGTCAATGATGGGGAATAGACGGTCGATCAAACTCTCACATTCCTTTACAAGCTTGTATAGCAAATCAGTGGTGAAGAAAGGCTGCTGCAAGACCCTCTGAATGAAGGGCAAGCGCAGAAGAGCACCAGTCCTTTTGTCATATTTCTTGAGTATCTTCACGAGCCCTATAAGCAAAAACAGTAATAGATCAGAATGGCTCATCACCGGAAGCGGATCCGGGATTTAAACTTGATGGGTTAGCACTGAAGTCGTGGTACTTCTAAAATTATGGGTGCAGATCTAATATTTGTTGAGAGTTTAATTGGTTTTCACATATATACTTCGGATGAACCCATTGCCTACGAGCTACATCCGCAGCTGCTCATGAGATAATACAGGTGACTTATCTTCTATCTCAAGTTGTTCCTGCACCATTTCTAGCTCTACAGACACCGAAATCTCAGTGCTCACCAAGCAGACAATGAGTGTCGACGCAAATGTATAGCACAAGCCTGAGTATCAACTCTTGCACATTTACAAAGACTTCTCAAAGGTATCCTTAAAATTCTGAGGCACAATTAATTTCATATACCCAAAGAAAGACATTGGATTTACCAGTATAGTTGAGGGCACTGTAATTTTCCAGCAAAACCATCTCCCCGTGGAAGTCTACTATCTCCCTGCGAATCTTTATAATCTCATCATTACGATCTTTCGCCTTTGCCACTCTGTCTTGCAACTCCTGTTACCAATTATCGAAACATGTCAAATACAGTATCAAAATTTAACAAGACAGCATAATCATTTTTTATTTATCGAGAAGTAGCAATTGTTTTCTTCTTCTTGGAAACAACTAGATGCATAACCAATAATTGGTGTGAACTACATCTTGTACCAATGATTTCTGTGTATCCCACCACAACTATGGCATCAAGCTTTTGCTTCTAACCAAATTATAGGATCTTTGGGTCACAAAATGAAACCATAGAATAAGATTGTACTTATTATGCACTATGACATCTCCACATTCAAATCATGGATGCAGATAAAAACTTCTATTTAGCCCTCTTGTTAAAAATTCATACTTGAAAGCCAAACCTACAAATAACTAGCAAATACCTAACAGAACAGTTGAAGCTTGTATAAAGCATACACACATAATTCAATTCGGCAAGAACAGGGGACCTCTTCACCAAGAGAATACAGGATTGGCAATAGGGTGGGGCGGGTGAAGTCTTGCCCTACAACAAACTCAACCCACCCCGGTTAAGAGCTTTCTTTGCCCCGGCCCGCCCTGTCCTGCCCCAGTTCTCATCCCTGAGAGAATAGTTATATTTTCATTAATGTGAGTATAAAAAAGTCTAAAAGTCATCGATACAAACAGATAAGCATGCCATGGCAGGTCTAAAGCATAATCTAGAGGTTCCCGTACATATCTACAAAGATTATTACACTTGACTGTGAACCCATTTATTATTGCACATCAACTTGATGTCATCCTAGTGGGATCTACTGGGTATGTTGTTGTTGTAACTTAAGGCCATCCTAGAAACTCGTGATCAGATTTTGGATCCTACTTTGTAAGCACTAAGCATACTTCTACATCAATCCAACAGCGCCAGCATCTTTCAACTGCTCTGCCTCTATCCACAAGTTGAATTAATTTGTGGTATTCTTTTTCTATATGTTTGTTCTTTAATTACACAATTAGCATCATATGCTTTACTACATCACTGTGTTTGGTTCTAATAAAGCAAATTATTCCATTACTTTATTCTCTTCCTGGAGGGTGATACACTAGAAATCAATATTATAGTTATCTCTTAGCTAGATTTAGTCGTTGAAACATTTCAGTTCCAAAAACTGGAAGCTAACTCGCACCTAAAAAGAATGCCCAAACACAACTTCAAGTTTCAAAATTCATAACATCAAAATCTATGATCAAAAGCGAGCATAAAGTTGGTTAAACAACTAAACATAAGTAAATACATATCCACAAGTTTCACAAATGATCTGTATATCACCAAAATCAAAACAACAATGCATTAATCAGAGCAAAATCAGCTTCCAGAAGCTTCCAGACAGAGACAAGTCCAGAATTTAAAGGCAAATACATCATTTAATTTATTTTTTCAAATATCATCCTCTACTTCAAGCAAAATTACCAAAAAAAAAAGATATTTTTAGGAATGTTCATGCAATTATCACCAAAAAAATTCGAATTTAAACAAGGTTCACGACGAGACTCTATTTTCCTAATATTTTTCTAAAATCCTACCAAAAAAAAGCATCAGAATGTAATTTTTTTTACCTTTAATCGAATGATATACTCTTCTTCTTTCTCAACGAAGAACGAATTGAATTTCTCAAGCTCATCTTCCAACAAATTCACAAACTCAACTTCCGCATCAGTCATCGGTTCCTTCTCCGGCGCCTTATCAAAACCTCCGTCAGCCATTTTCATCCTCTTAGAAGCCCTAACATCGTCTCCATCACCGGAACTCACCGATCTCTTCGGTTCAATCAACTTCAACTTTTTCTTCAAATCCTTGTATGACAAAAACTTGTCTCTCCATTCCGGTAACGTTTCTTCGATTTGATTGCTCAAACTTTTTCCGAACTTCATAACTCCGACGAAGAAATTCACACACAGAAAATGTTAAGAAATGAGAGAAAAAAATGAAGGAATTGAATGGTTGATATAATGGAAACAAATTAAGTGTGTGGAGTGAAGAAAAAGTGAGAGAATATGAAGAGTGAGCTGTGGGGGTATAATTGGGAATATTCTCTTCTTGTGCTCTTTTTTTACTATTTATTTTAATTTTATTATAAATACTCGATGCGAATAAGTCTTTCATATACTAAATTTATTATTATTAAAACAAAAAATTTCTTTCATATCAAATTGATAGTCAAAAACATATTTATATATCTCAATTTTCATACTTAAACTATTACTCATTATTTGTGATCAGAAAATAAAATGATTGATAAATTAAAATATATTTTTGATAAATAGTTAGTGATAATATGGATAGAATGTTTGAAACTTGATGTTTTAGGTACATTTTTTATTTTTTATTATTATATATATAATCGATTCGATATCATCGAATTATATTTTTTTTATTTGGAAAAATCTTATTTTATGACGCAAGATTATCTAATTATATTTATTACAAATGATACGTAATAATTATCTAAATAAGCCGTTTGCTATTAGCATTTTTTAATATATATTTTTTGGTAACTTCTAAGGCCAATGTTATATTTTATTTATAAATATATCATTGAGCAATAAAAAGAATCAAATATAGCTCTTGATATATCTATTATTATAAAAATAGAATATTTTTTGCCTTTTAAATATAAAGGTGAAATTTGTGGAGTAAGGAAATTGGAGAGAGAATATTATGTGTGAAAGTGGTCGATAAGAGTAAGATTAATATGGATCGTGATAGAACAGTTGAATTCTTTTATTCTTAGCTAAAAATAGTGAATTCTAATCTTTAGTATAAAAGCGTATTCTTTGAAGAACAAATCTTGAAATATATAAATTCAAATTAATTAAATTTTAATATAAGTAAATATCGAATAAATTTTTTTTAAAAAAAAGTGGTGAGGTGGGTGGGGGGGGTATAGTTGGGAATATTCTTTTTATTGTGCCTTTTTTTTTTAATAAATATCTATAAGAGGATATCTTAGGGTTTATGCTTTATTCCTTTATGTTTCAACAAGTAGGCTGGTGGGGCCCTTTTGATTTGAGTAACCGTGACGTGGCAAAATAGTAACTGAAGCTGGTGAGCTATATAGCTTATCATATTTTGTTATATATATATATATAGTCCTATCTATTTCAATTTAACAAAGATATTAAAAGATAATAATAAAATATATATATTATTGTTTTTAAGTAAGATATAATATATAAATATGATCTTTAACTTGATTTTAGCAGATCGATAATTATATCTTCAATTTTGAGTATGCCAAATAGATATGTAAAGTAGTATAAAATTGAATAAGTAAACACATGTATTCTACATGGTGTAATATATGTAGGACGTCAAGTAGAATTTTCTTGTAGTATATGTAGAACGAATATGTCTATATGTTTGATTTTATACAAGTTTAATTAATTATCTATTTGTACAAACTCCAATTTAAATATCATAGTTGTCAGCTGCTATCAAATTAAAAATCATGTTTACGTATTACGCCTTTACATAAAATAATTCTTGATAAAAAGTCCCAGACAAGTAATGTTTCATTTGTTCAAAATGTCATATTTGCCGTGTTTTAAATGACGGCTCGAAACTAGAGATATATAATCTAGCACAAAGGTGTTAAGGATGATAAATACAGAATGTGATGATTTATTTAAGTATTACTGTAAGATATTATAAATCTCATATCAATTTAATAAAGCACTCACATGAGGTTTATATAATTTTAAACTTTTTCGTATAAAAACTAATGTTTGAAGTGTGATTATCTCTGAGTTGTTATCGACTACTACTAAGGTCGTTTTCCCTTTTTAATTTATAAATTTTTTATTTAAATAATTACTCAAAAAAAAAAACATGGCTCAAATTAAAAGCAGCTGCTGAAGCCGAGCCGATTAAATATCCTCCACAAATTTATGTTGTAATTAAGAAGAATGGTATAATTCCAAAGCTTGAGGAATATGCGTATAGCTTTTATTAAAAAATAAAATTAAAAAAATTCCACAAAAAGGACAAATAAAAAATTCAACAATAGACTAACTTTTCTATTTTATAAATGGTAAAATTAGAATTCTACGTAATAATATTTTTTTTCAAGTATTTTTCTTCCTCCATCCATTCGATATCAGTATATTATTGCTCTGACAAATTTAAATTCAAACATCAATAATAAATATAATATATTAAAAAAACACTCTCTAACAAATATTTATTTATATTTAATATTTAAACTTAGCTTTTACGATTAAAATAATAATCGTGATTAGTTTTTTAATTAGTTATTGCCTTTGACATTTTGGCAATTCCCAAGAAAAGATAGGATTCGTATCTAATTAGAGTATATGTTTAATAAAAAGAAGCATAAGCTATTGTTTTGGTACTATTATAATATTCTTCCCTTTTTTCAAAGGCTATATTCTTTTTTTGGTTTAATTCTAGTTGTACTAAAAATATTTATGATATAATAATATGAAAATAAATTATTATTACGAATATATTTTTAGTGGAGTTCAAGGTATGTCATTCATAATAATCAATAATTTTATCTTGTTAGAATAATTAATTATCAATAGAAAAAAATTATTGATATTCTAATCGAATAATTAGAGAATTTTCTCTTCATAGAGATTGATGGCTTATTTTCTTAATATTGAATGGATTATTATGTATGATTTTTCTTTGTATTGTCAATTAAATATTTTATTGTTGTATGTTAGAGATATATCTATATTCAAATTCAATTATCAAATGATATATAGTTTTTTAGTATATATTGACTCATGGTTGAGATACTAAAAATTTCAAAAGGCAAAAGATCCTTTGTTTGACTCTTATGGATGTGATTATGATCCATGGTCACATTAGTGATCGAGTTCTATGTATGAAATTTTTACTTTTAAAGTGAGATTTTTTAATATGAAATTGAATTAATCGAGCTCAAAAATTAAAATCAGACATGAAACACCCCATGAAAAAAAAAAGCGATTATGAATATGAATTAAAGATATCACTAGATCATAAATAAAAATATATATTGAGCTGTCTCTAGAGAGATACATTTCATAGAACTAAATATACAAAAACTTGGATTGTTGTATTAATGGAGTATGATGTTAAGACAACAAAAAATTAAAAATTAAAAAAAGAAAAAAGGTGTTTGGGGGGGTGGGTTTACGCGGGGGGGGGGGGGGTAATTAGGTATAGACAAACATATTGATGTGTTAAAAGGGCAATGATCTTGTAAATTTTAGTAATGATATTTAATTAGTTAAATGATTATGCTCAGACTAACTTAAAATCTTCTCAAAAAATAAATTATCATGACTTTCAAAAATATAATACTTTTTCTTTTTTAATTTATGTGATTGTAAATCGAATTAACAAAAAATTAAAAAATAAATTAAATGTTTTTGAAGTTTTTCAATCACATCATAATATTTATATGATTATACGACTGACTCTTGTAACACCATATCTATTGATAAAAGAACAAGTTAGAATTAGATTAATGAAATTTATGCTTTATCCATATGGCATGTTCTCTAAAGATCCTCAAGGAACTTTCTTTAAAATATAACGTGCATAAATTTAATAGGATGAGAATTAAATAGTGATGAAAAATAAAAAAGCCACAAAGCATATTCTTTGATATAATCTTAATTAATTCCTTTGTTTATATTTCTTTTTTGTTTAATTAAAAAAAAAAGAGCTTTATCCCCACTAGAGAAAAAAAGAAGAAGAAATAAGCCACTTTAAAATTTTACATATTCTTTGAGATAGTGTCCTTTGGTTTTATTTATTATTATTGGAGGAAAATTTTGCAATTTTAGTCCTTATAATATATATAAATTTAAATTTTGATTCTCATGATATTTGTTCATTTGACAAGAAATGTTCATTTTCTAGTAAATATATGATGAATTGAACTCATAAATTATTAAATTTTTTTTTAAAAGAATATCTCTTCTCAGGTTAATCAACTCAATATCCAAATGAGGGTAAGCTTTTAACTGTCATAGAAACGAAACACAGTAAAAAGTGCAAAATAATTTTAGATGACCGTAGTTAATATATAATTAAGGGACTAAAATGTACATTTTATTTAATAGTATAAGATTATATATTTATTGAAATATCTCAAGGACTAATATTAAATGTTAAAGTTATAATTTTAGGGATCAAAATATGTAATTATCCCTATTTTTGGATACTAGGCCATAAGAAAAAGGAAGAATGGACCATATTGTTTTATTATTATTCTATGTTATCAACTTATAGTCTAACATTTATGTGTTTTTTTTTCTTTCACTTATCTTTTTGGTTGCAAATTGCAATAACGACCTATCAACTACTAACTGATGATTTTCCAACAGTTTATCCAGTCTTTTCTCAAGAAAAAAGTCAAGAGTTTATTGAAAAAGACAACAAATTTCATATTATATTTAATATACAGATTACAAGTTCGAGTCGTAGAAATAGTTAATAATATTTATTACATCATCTACAATCTATATCACATTTCTTAGGGTGTGATCCTTCTAACGAGGATATATAAGGAGTATGACGTAGACTAGAGGAAGAAATGAGGGTTCATGGGTTCGGATGAATTCAGTAGTTTTTTCGTAGATTTTGTATTTGTACTAAAAGTTAAATAAATATATATATATGTGTGTGTTTAACTTGTGAGTTTCTAACAAAATTGATTGACAATTCAGTAGTAAGGGACCATGAAAATGCATAATAAAGGTGTAATATATTTAATAAAAAATCACAAGGACCAAAATCGATCACCTGATTAAAGTATATAAGAATGACGGAATATTAACACTTTTAGCCCTTTAAGTATCGAAGAATGACCTCAACGTCTTAAGAAGTGTGATATAGATAACCTAGCTACCGCAACACAAGCATTAGTGATTTCTTCTATGACTTGAACTGTAAATTATATGTACAATTATATCAAATTTGAAACGATAACTTTGGGAGGAAGAATTAGG